CGGGATGCGGCCGGCTCCGCTTCCCAGCTGCGCCCGGCGTCACCGTCACGGCAGGGAGCAGCCGGGAGGGCCGAACGCCAGGACAGGGGCTGTATGAGCTAGGTCTGCCCGGCGCGAGGGGAGGTGCAGGGCCCCGTGTGTGACCGCTGGGCACAGAGCGAGGGAGACAGGAGCCGTGCGGGGGGTGGATGGGGCGGCCCCGGCGCAGAGCGACGGCCCTGGCGCCGCCGCGGGGAGGACCCGGACACGGAGCGGAGACCCAGCCGCCTCCGGCCTCCGAACAGCCGGGCTCAACACCTGCAAGGCGAGCGCGCCCCCCGTGCCCGCGCCGGGCAGGGACGCGGCCGGTGCCCCAAGCAGGGACCAGGGCTGCACTGGGGTTCCAGCGAACCCCGTGTGCCCGGGGAGCGGGGCAGGTCCCCAGGGCAGCGCCCCAGGGCTCCCTTTCCTCCCCCGTGCCGATACATACGGTCCCGCGTGCACCAGGATGGAGCCCACTTTCTCCACGCCGGCTTCCTTCAGGTTGGGGCAGGCTCCGTTGAGCTCATGGCAGCGGCCTTGGAAATTCTCCTGCTCGAAGATGGCGATCTGCAACGCGGGAGAGACCAGAGAGCGGCAGCGTGTTGGCTTCCCCAAAGGCAGAGCCAAAGAAAAGCAGCTTCGTGACCGTGACCCCGCAGGGGACCCACAGCAGATGGGCAACGTACGCTATGCCCGCTGTGGGCACCCCTTGCCACGTGCTGCCACCAGCCCACGGTCCTGCCTGGCTTTGGGGTCCCCCTGGCTGGGGACACATGCCAGGAGCTGCCCTGGCAAAGCCCGGGTTGGAAACGCGGCCGCAGAGCTCGGCTGTGCCCAGCGGGGCGGCGGGATGAGCGGGGCCCTGGCCGTGCTCCGGAGGTGCCCGTGCATCCCCTGGGGGCGGCCGTGCGGGCTCGGCACGGGCTGCGCGGCGCAGCGCGCGCGGGAGCCAACACGACGTGTCCATGCGGGCCAGGAGCGCAACGAGGGTGCCGGGACGCAGCCGCCCCCAGCAGGAAGGGCAGAGCCCTGCGGGGCGGCAGCACCGGGGGAAGCAGCGCGGGTGGCCCTGCCTCGCTGCCCCGTCCGCGCGGCTTCCTCCCAACCCCCTGGGGCGCAGAGACCCTTGGAGCAGGGCAGCATCTGCACCAAGGTCGTGGAAAAGCTCCCAGGGCAGAGCCGGCAAAATCCTACGAATCGCCGCCCTGAGGCTGCTGCTCGTGCCCGGAGCCCTTCCCTCCGCGGGAGCCGCTCCGGGAGGCCGCGGCCGCCGCGCAGGGCCCCGCTCACCTTGGAGCTGGCTGGCTGCTGCTTGG